TTGGTGCCAAAAGCCTGTTTGGAACATGTGCTCTGTCTTGTTCCCGTCAGTATTTATGCCTCTTGTTGCCACTTTGTGATAAACGTGCCTTCGGTAAAAAAAACATTTTTCAAAATGTCTGCGACTTCACATGAGAGGCTGCTGGAACGGAGGAGATTTCCGGCTGGCTGGTAGACTCTGAAGATTGCGCACGGTGTTAGTCATCATGACTTGTTTTGACTCACATTTGTTTTCTGTGCCGTCCATCTCGATCATCATGTTGTCCAACTGCTCCTGTTCCACCACGCTGATGCCCTACACACACACACAAATGCAGAAACACACTGTAACAACACTCACAGGTGGAGGAATATGCAGCCTTTATCACTGTATCGGTGTTAAACTTTCCACAGAAACCTGTTTGGATACATTTTGGTTCAGTTTTGTTGAACATATGAAAACTGAATTCTATTCTTGGCAGTGTGGATGTGTCTGTCCCATTCTCCCTGGCCTCCACTGATGGTAACAGTCAGGATATTAGAGGTATAAGATACTGGGGAGCACAGTGGCTCAGTGGTTAAAAATAGTTCGAAATTGGGTTCAATTCCCGGGTGGGGCAGGGTCTTTCTGTGTGGGGTTTGCATGTTCTGGGTTTCCTCCACCATTAAAACATGTATTTTAGGTTAATTTCTCCAGTCAGTACCCTTGACCAAGGCACTTGCGTAGATCTGGAGTTGGTCCCCGAGCGCTGTACACTGGCTGCCCACTGGTCCCAGTGCAAAGGTTGAATCGAGAGGACATATTTGTTGTACTGTGTATGATTGTATGTGACAATGAAGTTAATTCTATTCTCCTCTATTCAGTCTATCACACGGTTTAGTTTCGTTTTTTTGTTCTCAGACTGGTATTTTTTAATATTATTCGCTATGTGATCACTAATCCGGACCTTCCAGGCTTCCAGCCTGTTCCCTGTTGTTAAAAACCATGTTGGATAATCAATAACAGCAAAAGTTGTTGTTTTTTTAAGCAGCCCTGGTCAACAAGTGTCGAACTGTATTCTTTAGTCTTATTATCATTGCATTTTTTACTGTTGTTTGGACAGATTTTTTTAAAATATCAGTTTTTTTATGTTGTTTGTGAGCAGTGAAGCACTTTGTAACTGTATAAAAGTGCTTTATTAATAAAGTTCTGAGTGTTATTATCATCCTTATGACCCCACACACACACACACACACACCAGCGCAACCAGGCCAATCCGTCTGTCTGATGCGCTCTGATGTGACGTTCAAGAGCTCGGAGCCGTTCGGCTGTTTTTTCCCGCCTGACTGATCACCAAGATTCATTTCCCGGCAAAACATCTGCTGCCGGAGGAAATTACCCATACTGCACTGCTGCAGATATCTGAATCCTACTATTGTACTCGCACACACTCGTACACCTTCTTACACACACAAACACAAACCTCATTCATTTTGCTCTCGCTCACTCACACTTGTTTCTCACACGGACACATTATCGTCATTTTTCATTCACAGTATCTCTGCACACACACACACACACACACACACACACACACACACACACACTGTTACTGATAGCTGAAGAGACTTTATCTTATTCTCACAGCTTCCTGTCTTCCCATCCAGATGTGATAGTCATCCGCACATCGATCGACTGAATCTGCGCTCAGTGTCACCTGCTGTACAAGGTTGTTTTGTTCACATTTTGAGTCCAAACTGATACCGCTGATTCAAGCCGACCACAGACTGTGGAGACGATGTTTGCAACCCGGAGTTTATCACTTACTGCCATGTTAGTCACTTGAGAGCAGAAAATCCAATTTTGGGAAAAGCCGGGTGGAGCTGAAATAGGACAAGCAACCAGAGCGACCACCTGAACCGAGTGTTGACTAAAAGGCGATCAAGGCAAATGGGCCAAAACTTATCAAGATTTATTTTTATCCCATTTTACTGAATCTGAATCAAGTATCAAATACACTAATCCATACTGAATCTTTTTATATTCAGCTCTCAACAAAACTACATTATCACTTTCTGTTGACCAGGAGGGTAGAAATACTGCTCACACTGCAGTTTTCAGTGGTACCCTGATTAATATTCAAAACCTGTAGCTACATTCTGAAAAACTAGCAAATTCCCAGAAGTTATTCCTTTAAAGGACCAGAATTTTAGTTGCATCTAGCGGTGTAGTTGCAGATTACAACCCCCTCGCCTCACCGTCCTGTTCCGAGTGTGTAGGAGAAACTACAGTGTCCATAAAACTCGCAAAAGCCCCTATCTAGAGCCAGTGTTTGGTTTGTCTGTTCAGGGCTGCTGTAGAAACATGGCGGTGCAACATGGTGGACTCTGCAGAAGAGCCAAGCCCTCTAAATGCTCCTAAATGTTGGACCTTTAACAAGAACAACTCTGTATCCAGCTCCCTCTGCGAGACACCAGACTTTGTAGATTTAAACATGGTTATTGACGAATATACTGGATGAACATTTTGGTGACTTACAGAGGCTATAAGGGCGGGAGCCAGAGTATCATTGATGTGCCCGACTGCCTTCAAAACACCTAGAGGAGAGAACAAATGAAGGGAAGAAAAGGGAAATTGAAATCTTGCAGCAATTAGGAGGACAGAAAAGTCTAGTCTTTGTTTTAAGCCGGCATTAAGAGATGCTTTTGATATTAACACTGGGTCTTTGTAATCTGAAAGGGGTTGCTTGTATTGCAGGTCCCCCTATAGTGAACAGTGAAACTAAACTGACTTTTTAAATTATTTTAACCCTAAAACTAATGTTAGCATTCATGAACTGCATATACTGGGATTGGCATGAGATACAGAAGTTAGTCGTAGGCCAGCTAGTAGATGGCTCTACCAGGGATGTGTTTTAATGTTTTGGACTCGTTTGTTAACTTATTGAAGAATGTAAATGTAAAATAGACCCCCATACCTTTGCCCTTGTAGCGGCTCTTGTCTCCATCTCGGAGCTCCAGAGCCTCGTAGATCCCTGTGGATGCTCCGCTGGGCACCGCAGCCCTGAACAGACCTGAAGGTCACACAGACAGACAGACAGACAGACAGACAGACAGACAAGGATAAATAAAGTTTAAAATGCAAGGAATGGACAGAGGAGAAGAGCTTTTGACTTGTCTTTGTTTAAACCTCAGTGGGCACAAATATGATTGTGAGACATTAAAGATTCCCTCCAGACATGTTTTAATATGTATATAAACTGCTCTAATTTGAATCTGGTATGCTATTTTCACAAAAAAGTGAAATTGTCTTGTTAAATTCTTTGAAGCTGAAGTCCATTCTCAGTGTATGTGCACTGCTTCAAGTTTCCACGTCACGCTTTTTCACACATTCACATTATGAGCATGAATACATTGGTCAAGTTAGTTGACAGACGCTAAGGATTCAATCAGCACAGAGATGAAGCAAAGCTTGATATGACTAAAACTGTTTTCAGACACTTGTGTGGCCAAGTTAAGTACGACAGGAAAACAACCAACACGGTCACACCTTCAGCAGTATCTGAAGGTAAACACGGAGTAAGCGGAGAGGAGGCGACCTGCGGCGTTGTCTGCCAAAAGATTCTGGAAAACGACTCAGTATGTTCTGATGATTCAGAAAAATAAAACACCTAAAACTGTGACAATACACTCTGCCTCTCTGTTTTAAAATCTGCTGGGTTTAGACCAAACCTTTGCAGTATATAGATTAATACTGTTACACGTTTTGAATGCCTGATGTTCTTTCCAGTGTATTTTTTTTAAGATTTGAAAGCATTTTCATGTACTGCTGTATTGATGTATTGATTTGTTTCAATAGCAACTGGCTGCGTAATGGAAGTTTATTGTTATAGGAGGTTCCAATTCAATTATCATATCAGCAATGTCATCCACCTGAGAGACACAGGAAAGGATTTTACACCAAAGTGGCCAAAAGTGTGTAATTGTTAAAGTACTAATGACTAATTGCTCGTGTTTTGATGTGACTCATTTTGATAGTTCGCTCCGTAAACAGAAACACAGACTTCAGTTGGTTATTCTTAACATACCGTACAAAGAATGTTGAAAATTTAAACTCAATGGATGCAATTTTCGTAAAACAAAATTTCGCTTTTGAGACCCTACTAACAGCATCGTACCTAAACTCTCTGTGCATATGTAACCTTTCAGCTCCTAATATGAAATAAGAGCATGCTGTGGAGCACCAGTTCTACCTGTAGAGGATCGTTGTATATGCATACGTTTCTGGCCATTTAAAGGGCCAGTGTGTTGGATTTAGTGGCATCTAGCTTAAACCGTCCAATTCCAAGTGTAACAAACTACAGTGGGCGGTTCAACCTGGCAAACACCATGGAAGGAGACCCACTCCCTCTATAGATAAAAAAGTCTCATTCTAAGGTAACAAAAACACAATGATTCTTACATTAAGGTGATTATACACTAATTAAAGCTTACTAATGAATATTATATTCCATTTCTGCCAATAGATTCTCCTAAATGTTACACACTGGACCTTTAAAAACACACTTTTATTTGGGAATATGCACCATATATGCACAATGTTACCTAAAACATCCATTTCTTAACAGTAAATCGGATATTACACCAATAAGTAAAAAGTTAAAATAAATTATATTTTGATTTGTTTTCATCTCATTGATTGGGATTGAAGCCTACAAGAAGCCCAAGTCTTCCCTTAACCGAGAATTGATTGATCTGGACAGGGGTCATATGAAGGTTGTCTGATGTCAGAAACAATTTAAAATTACAGCAGAGATGCTGTTGCGCTGCCAAGATTTTTTAGCGCTTTTTGGCAAATTTCTGACATGATGAATCTGAGCAGACATCATCCCGGTGAACATTGTTATTTTGTTCCTCTGATTTTGCAGACAGGCTCGGCGGCAGTCACCTTTCTCTGTGCGAAGGTCCACTTCCACAGTGGGGTTTCCCCGGGAGTCCAAGATCTCCCTGGCAACGATGCTGACGATCGACATCCTGAGAGACACAGAGAGGGAAAGAGGCTGCGTTATTATTGCTTTACCTTGTAATATGTATTGTGAATCCTGTTGGAAATACGGTTCATTTCTGGCACTTATATTGGAGGATATGTCAGCTTCAGATGGAACTGAAAAAAGAGGGAGACAGATAACGGAGAGAGAGATGTCATGGGTAAAAAGATCTATTTTTATATTGTACACACAAAGAGCAACCTGTCAGGGGAGACGAGAAACATCACTGCAGATTCACTGGGAAAATCAAAGCTCGCCACAGAGGACTGGGTTCTCTCACGCACTCAGACAAACACACTGCAGTTACTGTTTCTGGAAGCAGGTTGCAGCAAAAGAGTAAATTATGCAGCCGTTTGCCACTGCTTTCATCCAGGCTGGCAACTGCCGCTGGTTGGGATTTGGTAAGGTGATATTCTGTATTGTTCTTATTGTCTGAAAACCAACAACGAACTGATTCTACTATAAGTATTGTGTCCCAAAACTATTAAAAAACATAAATGAGTCACACTGTTGCACTGGGTGATCTGGTCCTTCATTACCATGAAAACACACACTGTATTTTACTTTGGCTCAATCAAAAAAACACCGTCCAGATGCTGGAAACAATCATTACGGCACCAAATGTGGATAAATAAATATAATAATAAATATATATAAATATATTTGTGAGCTGGTTTTAAAGATTTCCAACTTCAGTGGGGATCAACAGGATTTGAGAGAACATTTCTGCCCAAGATATACTTCAGACATTATTCCCTACATTAGTTAAGGTTAGTTAGCCAGTGCTAATTAGATAAGTAATTGTGATATGGAAATGAAAATCAGAGAAAAAATAAATGTTTGAGAATTCTGCCATTTTTGCTTCTTTAGGTCTTCAAAGTCACAATAAAACACTCTTCCTGCCAGGCTTAATATACCCCAGTGCCAGGGGTGGAAGAAAATGTACTGTAGTAGCTCATTTTTTTGTGTACTTCAACTTTTAGATGCTGGTGTGTCTGCAGCTGCAGGAGGTCAGAGCCTCAGAGAGCTCCAGGTCCAGAGAGCTGACACTCAGCCGACAGGTATATGCTCTGTGTCAGGGGGTGTGGGTGGTGTGGTTGCTCCCAGCAGTACAGAAAAATGATGGGGGTTATAGTGAATGCTAAATGCTCATGGTGACTTTTCCACTCACTGAGGAATCTCCACCTACACTGAGGTGTGTGGGGGTTTTCTGCTGTCTTTGACAAGAATCCCTCCCACAGTTGTGTCTGCAGAGCCTCATTCAGCTCAAAATGTCTGACGGCTTTGAGAGCGGACCTGCTGTTGTTGAACCTAGAGCAGACCGTGTCGTACATTTTTACTAAGTACTTTTACTTGAGTACAATTTTCCAGTATTCTTTCCATCCCTGCCCAAAGCAGCAGTAACTGTCTTTTTATTTTCTGCCCCCAGTTCCTTTGCATTATAAATGTACTGTTACTTTTCCTTCAAGGGAAAGTGAAGTGAATCTTCACATGACTCTAAAACCACCCAGCTCTGCTTCTCCTCATCAGATGCAACATCACAACTGCAGAGACGTCACAGTGCTGTCAATCAGAGGCTACAGTTTATTCTTTTTGAATAATCTTAATGAAATTAATGTCAACTGGCATGCACCACTTCCTTCCCTATTCACAGTCCAACCCCCCAGTGTTGTGTTCCACTCCAAGCACCAAGCTAAATAAGAAATAAACTGGATTATAACTATAAAATGCTGTTTCCTTATGGCTCAAAGAATTTAGCTGCAGTTTGTGCACTGAATGATCAGCTAGCACGTCAGAGTCCTGCCACACCCCACTGGATATTCACGGCACTTTTGTAGTCACACTCTCTTTAAAATCCACTTTTACCTTGTTTAATAAGGTAAGAAAACAAGAAAGAGGTTTTGGGGAGTACATTTTTCCACAATCTTCTTTCTACCGCTGCTGTTTACTGCTGTTGCTTCTTCTCTCCCGGGAGAGACAGCTCGGAAAATCCTGCAGCGCTAATGCAGGAAAGAGGCACCTCTGGGTGCCATTGGACTCTCTGAAAAACAGCTCGACCACAAGAGCATTCACCTAAGTAGGTTAGTGCACGGCAGCACAAGCGCTATGTTTTTTTAAAATCAAAAATCACCCACCAAGGACCAACATTTTATGATTTTAGGGCACCTTTATAAAGTATTGAATTTTATGTTTTTGCTGAAATCTGTTGTTTTGTAAGTCGCTCAGTCCACTGATGGGGATTTTTTACATTAAAATTTCTCATTGCTAAAACTGTATATTTTATGCACTAACATCATCGACTAAGTGAGTTTTGGAAAACATCTCTTGACCTGACTCTTGATCAAAATTCAATTTATTAACGTGTTACTATTCACAAGAAACAAACCATTACAAATTATAAAATGTTATTCTATCATCAGACTAAGTGATTGTCGGCTGGGTTAGCAGATATCATTTTAAACTTCAGGAATGCTACTACCTCTGTAAACATATATATACATACTCAGATCAGATGATCTCAAGGAATTCAGATATGGATTTAATTAAACAGCATTTAAATGTTGCTTTATGTCCAGAACAAACTCCTTTCACTGTGCACTCCTCTTGTGATGAACAACATAAAAGGACTGGTTTCTCCTTTGTTTCTCACAGTGAGAGACCGAACTGCTCCACATCACAAGATTTAAAACGCATTAATTCTGTCTGACGATGCATTTGAACTTTCTGTATCACCACAACAGCGTTAACGTACAAGAACCTGAAGGCCAAACCATTAAGAGCTCCGTCCTTATTGTCATTTCACTATCATCCATGCTAATCTCCTCTGTGGGTGTTTTCCCTCTTCCTCCTCATTGATATTCCAGGCACGCAGCGCTGCAACGATATGTCAAAAAAGGCCTTTTATGCTGTCCTCGTCTCTGTACTGTATGAATACTTTATCGATCTGCGAGGAGCTAAATCTGGCTCGTTGCTAGCTTGCAGAAACCTGTCACTGTACTGTCCTTTCAGATGTAACAGGCTCAGTAGAGGGTGTGCCAACTGCTGGGGACACTTTTCTCATTTAGTGTGCATTCATTAATGAAAAATAGTATAGTGCGTTGCCTACAGAGAGCCAGATGTATCGTTTGAAGTCAGATCTATGGGGAAACTGCATTTCAGAACTTACAATGATTCTTATATAGTGCTCTCACTTATAATTACAATGTCCTGATTATGTTGCAGTGTACATTGTCTATATGGGTGGAATAATGTATGTGGAACAATGTGGCGCCCTGATTTACAAGAACATTTAAAAATTGCACATCATTTTAAAGAGATTGCCCACCTTATTTAGAGCTTCCTCACAGCAGACATTTTTGTGCCAGTAAGCCAATATGCACATTACAGGAAATGTATTCATGTAACTTTTTAAAATTAGAATGGCAAAGCAAACCTATAACCAAAGCAGAACAAAGTTTTTTAGCCTTTAATTAAAGGTTCTATAGGTTAGTGACTGATGTGGTTTTGGTAAAGGGCTGAGGCTTCTCATGGTGTTTGAGCCTGTTAGTCTGGAGGATTTGGTCACCGATTGAAGTTTACTGTTTTCTCTCATGTTTCGATCCACCAGTCTTAACTTTGCAGGAGTCTTGCACACAAACTTGTCATGACCATACAGATTCACGTATGCTGCTGTACAAACAGAAACGCCTACATAACAGTTAACGCTGCCTCTGTCTTCTTCAATGTCTTTAAGATATCCTTTCCTTTAAAATCCTTTCTAGGGTCTATGTACAGTGGTCTGATGTAAATATCCATCTTTAAATAATCTTCCCTGCTGTTTTGTAACACTAGAATCTGACAGACAACACACCTATGTGCATATTTTTGCATATTAAAACAGCATTCAGACCATCTGAAACTACTGCGATTATGTGTAGGATACATGTAATGTTATTTTGTTGTCTTATTATCTCTATAATTTCCCTCTGGTGTTTATCTGACTCACAGCCTAAAAGCAAACATTCTGTTTATGTAAGACCTTCCTGAAGACATTAAATGCTACACATTTCTAGCTTCCCCTGTCACCTTTCATCTCCTCCTCCGGGACACAAATCCCCCCCCCGTGTGTTGCTTTTAACCACAAAATCACATTACTCCCCCCTGTCTTTGTTTTTCTTTCTTCCTGTCCTCTGACTCCTTCCCTCAGCACTCCTTTATCATACGTGATCCTTCTGAGCAACTCAGGAACATTTCCATCCATTTTCACAGCAGCTCTGAACCCTGCCCCCCCCACTGTTGGTCGATTACAATGTCGACAACCTACAAATTTATGCTTATTCAGTTCTTACACTCATTGTAGGTCGCCGGGGATAAAAGCGTCAGCAAAATGTATAAACGGTGCTCAGCATAAGAAAGAGCAGATAAGGTGCCTGACTCGCCGCCAGCACACAGAAACTTCCACACACGGAGAGTCAGGGGGATCGATGCGTGGGTGATTTTCTCTACTGGCCTATATTAATTTTATGGCTTTTTCTCTCTCTCTCTCTCTTTTTTGTTGCTGTTTTGAAAGCCCCACCCTAGAGTACTGCAGTTTTCCAAACAGGTCCTCCTGAGGGTGGAGCAGCAGTATAAAGAACGCCTGCCAACACTGTTACATCAAAAATTCTGCATTTGTTCATGATCACATCATCACAGCAGGCCGTTTGACAATGAAAATGTTGAATATGATTTCCTACCCTAATTCAATTTTTTCAGTCAGTGAATGTATAAAAAGGGCCTTAATATCGGTATGATACATTCAATCCTATTTCAAACAAAGCTAAGAGTCTACAGCCATGCAAGCAGCTCTATGAGGCTGCAGTGGTGCTTTGAGCTATATGCTAATGTCAGCTGGCAACATAGGCTACTGATGGGAATGTATTTGGTCATAAAAAAGCAGCAAACAAACCTCTGTGGCTGGCAAATGAAGCCAACATGGAAGTAACAAAAACTGTTCCTCGAATGGCCACTAGAGGCTGGCTACCGAAGTGAGTCAATCTCCATAAGCCCCCATATTAAAATACTAAACTTTAAAGCAGAAACAAAGGCCTGGTACAACAGGCTAATTTCTCCGTTCATGACAACTGTACAGGGGTGAATTTCTTTGGCTATGTGTGTGAGTTAATTTTACTAAGGGTGCTGTTCTTCTAATGGCCTCTAGGTGCTGTCTCAGATAAGTTATATTATTTAGTTAAGTTATTTCCCACAAGGCTTCAGGGGGAAATGTTTTGGTTGCTATAATGTTTGTGTTGGTGGTTGATCACAAAATGTTCATTAAGAAGATATTACAGTTCAAAGATGGGTCATTTTGAGAAAGGTGTTACGGGAAGAACTGAGGGTGACATTCAGTATTTTCCATTTTGACTTCTGTAAAATCGATGTCAAAATTTCGATGACTACAGCACAGAGAAATGTGAGGCCGTCTATCTTCCATCACAATCTATTTATGAACATAACAGCTTTAGAGTCATTTAGGGTCATTGTCATGGAGTGTAGAACGTTAAAGGGACATTGGAGTATCTGTGAGCCTAAAATCTGTAATTATAACTAGGAAGAAGCTCGAGTTAACAAACATCTACAGAAATCCTGCAGATCTGAAACAGATAAACTAGTTTTTTAGTAATCCAACGGAGACTAACATCAACATTTTGCGTTGTCATGCTCAATAACATAAGTGCAAATTCAAGGTAACTGACTGTACTGTATTTATTCTACCTTACTGTACATAAAGTAGTTCAAATTAGCTCAACCTTGAGCATCTACAGCACAGAAATGCAACATACACATTAATCCAAAAACATCATATATAATACTGAAGTACTGACCATTTTTTGATACTTTAGAGCAGTAAAAATTATTTTTTGTGGAGCCCCTGTGGACAAAATCTGTATTTCCACCGCCTCGTTCCATCTGATTGATGGGAATCCGACTGAATCCGCCCCGGTGGCAGGCAAAACAATATAGAAATAGCCAATCTTCTCACTTGTGTGCTTATGTAGGTCACATATATTTCATAGCCAGTTAAAAACTCCTTGTAGTACATTTAGGTCAATTTTTTTATTCAAGTTCTTTTACTTGTAGTAGAGTATTTTCAGGGTGGTAATAGTACTTTCACTGAAGTAAAGGATGGGAATATTTCTTCCACCAGTGGCTATTTTAATGTCAGTCATGTATGCGTGACACCAGCACGCTCATCTCATATCCATAAACACATGTTCCTCCTTTCCAATCTGTCACCATCTCAGAGAGTTCATCTCATAACTCTCATCTCCATCCCTCTCTCCTCTCTCTTTCTCCATCTCTGTCTGTGTCTCTCGCCCCGGTGCTGTTTGTGCACGTTGCTGTGAGTTACGTAAGCTCTACAGCAGCGGCAGCAGCAGCAGCAGCAGAGAGAGAGGCAGGACACCCATGAACGCACCACACCACACCTACCAGAGACTGCAGTGCTCAGCAGAAAATATACCAGCACTGAAAAACACACGCGAGTGGGCGAGCCAGGGAGAGAGTGAGTGAGGGAGACAGGGATGAAAGCACGCAAGGAGAGAGAACAAGGAGGACGGCATATATATTCTCATTATATCTCTGTATGTGGATGTACAGAAAATGATAATGGCTAGGAGGATGGAGGGAAAGAGAGGAAGGAAGGAAGAGACAAATGCAGGTAGATTGAGAAAGAGAGAGGAGAGGAAGTAAAAAATCATGCAAAGATG